TAACTTTTTCAAAGCTAAAAGTCATAAGTTGGCTCTGAAAAGTTAAAACAAACACCCTCATGATACGCAACTTAAAAATGGTGTGTATTATAGGATTTCCCTAAAAATAAACCACTTAAGTTTAGCTTGTGATCAATTTTATTGAAATTTGTTTGAGATCGGCTCAAAAAAATTATTGTTAGAACATAATATACATATAATATTTAGTTTAATTTATGATTAAATACATTATTGATCTCTACAATATGCATAAGACATCTTAAGGGCATTTTTGTCTCATAATCACTTATACCTCATAACCAATACTATACAAATCAAACCCTTATAGGTAAGGTCCAACTTCTTTCTAATTCGAAAAAAAGTCCAGTTCGATTTAGTTTACCTCATGAGGACCACTACAAATTTCTTTCCGATAATTTGAGACCTCAATTTTGTAAGTCCTTATATGTAGATTGAATAAAATCAAATTAATATGATAATTGTACAAAAAAAAATCATAAATATAAGAAAAATTACATGTAGGCAATTATAGTCCAAGAACTTAATAACGATCATTATATATAGCCTAACAATCACTACAATAAATAGTTCATAATAGAAAAAATAAATGAATAACACAACACAAACACTATAATTGAGAAAAAAATCATTAATATTTATTTACCTTCAATAAAAATCAAACTCGTGACCTCTCAAATAAAAATACTTAATAGTGATTAACTGAACTAATTCAATTAATTATCCACATCATGAAGGGTTTCAATTTTGGGTTCAGCTTGACAACATGGTACCATCAAGATCCAAATAAGCAATGATAGAAATTTACCAAAATACCCCACGGGAAAACAACAAAATTTGTCACTAAACAAGGAGGGTAAAATGGTAATTTTGAAAATGTGCATGTGGGTAATATGAAAATTTTATACTTCAACACTGCTACATTCATTGAATTTTACTCCGCTCGAATTGTCTAAAAAATATTTATTCGGACAATTCGAACGGAACAAAATTCATACATCAAACATTATTCTTTATAATTTTCACAAATGCTGTGACACTATATTTAATAATTTTCAAAAAGCAAAAAAGCAAAAAATAACAAAAAAGGCCAAAAAAAAATTTGTTTTTTTCTATCTCCCAAACGAGCCCTTCATACATGAAACATTTTTGAGTGGGCCAACAAATATTGCAAAGAAGTCAGACAATCACAATCAGGAAAGAGGAAAGTGAGTCCGTCCCTATTCTCATTTTCTTGCAAACTACTTTTTATTAACAACTAGTTCTTAAACTTTATTATTATTATTATTTTATTTATTTACAAGTTTTGGAGGTTTTTATCTTTTGGGGTGGACATATAGTCCGAGTTCGCATAATGGACTTTCACCATCCGTTGATAGGTTGGGATGATTGAGGTCATGGGATTGATACGATAAGATGGTCTCTCAGTAAAAAAATAATAAAAATAAAATTATTTTACCTTAATTTAAATTAAATTTGAATATATTTAAAAATTATTAATTTTTTGATTAAAATTAAAATAATTTATTATCAAATTCTATTAATTTATATATGTATTATAACAAATAATTTCCCTCAAACTCCTTTTCGTGATTATTTGATTAAAAGTTTATTTAAGATTTGAATATAAGTTTTTAAAGTTCACGCATTTTAAAATTTGTACACTCCTAATTTGAAAAATTAATATCAAACAAAAATATATATTATTTAAATATGAATTATTAACGAAAACACATAATTGCAATATAAAGCACAGAAGTAAGAGAAATGTAGTGTGTACTTGTTAGTCATTTTACTTCGAGAAGTTGTTGGTTTATCTAGAGATAGCGTCACATAACACTCTACATATATTGTGATTCGTAAAGAAAATAAGATCTGCGATTTTATGTTGAATGATTAAAAAATATGAAGAGAATAATAAATTGTAATTAGTGAGGGGTATGATCACGTGACGGCTACTGAACCAATCAATAATTTTTTTTTATTTGATGATAATTATAAGAAAAAATATTCATCAAGTACGTAAATTGATTTAAAATTTGTACACTCCTAATTTGAAAAATTAATATCAAACAAAAATATATATTATTTAAATATGAATTATTTACGAAAACACATAATTGCAATATAAAGTACAGAAGTAAGAGAAATGTAGTGTGTACTTGTTAGTCATTTTACTTCGAGAAGTTGTTGGTTTATCTAGAGATAGCGTCACATAACATTCTATATATATTGTGATTCGTAAAGAAAATAAGACCTGCGATTTTATGTTGAATGATTAAAAAATATGAAGAGAATAATAAATTGTAATTAGTGAGGGGTATGATCACGTGACGGCTACTGAACCAATCAATAATTTTTTTTTATTTGATGATAATTATAAGAAAAAATATTCATCAAGTACGTAAATTGAGTAAAAATGGGGAGTCTCTAATGCGTGTGTACTTGTTAGTGGTTTTATTAATGATATATAGGTGGTGTTTGGCAAGTTGGGTTGGGATTAAAATAGCCACAAAAGACAAAACAGGCTATTTTAGCCACAAAAGACAAAACAGGCTATTTTAGCCACAACAAACAAAACATCACATCCAACCCATAATCATTACACTCTTCTCTCACAAAAAAAAATCAAAAAAGCCAAAAAGCCAAAAAGCCCTTCCCAAACCAAACTTTTTAGCCCAGGCTAAAATAGCCAAAAAAGTTAAAAAGCCAAAAAGCCAACCCACTTCCCAAACGGAGGCATAATTATAATAAATTTATGGATTATGGTACACATTTTTAAAAGATGTGTATTATATATATTTTATAATTAAACAAAAAAATTACATAATTTCATATTTTATGAGTCATAGTTAAAAAATAAATAAAGCTATAACCAAACACTAAATGAGGTATAATCAAATATCTCAAAATAACGTTATAACTAAAGAAGAAAATTAGTCATAATTAAAAAAAAAATTAACTTAAGTAAAGGTGTATATGATATGAGGGTGTGTATTGTAGAATTTTCCTAAATTTATTCATCTTAGGTGTGTGAAATGAAAAATAATAAAAATGAGGATGCGCTCCAAAACTAACATTGGATACTTTGGCTCCTTTTAGTTTAGTTTTAAAAATTAATTTTTAAAGATAATTTTTTAAAAAAGTTTGCCAAATTTGAAGATTTGTTTGGTTATATATTTTAAAAATAATTTTGAAATGAATTGTATTTTTTTTTGTTTTTATTTGAATAGATAGATGTGAGAGAAAATTGATTGACTGATATATAAAATGTGAGACAATGAGAGAGGAAAGGGGAGAGAGAAAAAATGTTTGATTGATGTGTAAAAAAATAAAAAAGAGGAGAGAGGAGAGAGCAAAAACAATTTTGAAAATTTTTAAACCAAACATCTTTTTAGATTTTTCAATTCAAAAGTTAATTTAAAAATTAAACCAAACACTATCTTTATTTTTAAATTTAAATTTTATTTTTATTAATTTCAATCTTACCCCACTCAAAGCCCATTCAAATAAGGATGTGCTCTAAAACTATCATCTCCACTACCCCATTCATTTCCCTTCCCTCCTTGTTCCTCGTCTTGTTGCTTCCTTCCCTTCCCTTCACTTCCCTTCCCTCCCCTCACCACCTACTACTACTTTTTCTCCTTTACTCTTTGCCTATGTCACTCATTTCCCTCTTTGATGACCTTTCATTATTCTAAACGCCCTTACCCTTCTGCATCTCATTCCTTCCCTTCTCTATTCTTTTGCAATTCACTTGCCACTTGCATCACACTTCCTCACATTCCCTTTCTCACTACCCCCACCCTCTTGTTACCTCAAAGCCCTCATCATTTTTCTATCCGCAAGCCCTTTATTACCTTTCCAGTCTCAACCACCTACCGTCATTGATTCATTGAGATCAAATGTAAAGATTGTGATGACAAGGCGAAGTTAAAGTATAAGGGGGAGATGTGATAATAGAATGGGCAATTTCCATTGATGGTTATGGTAATTGTTGTCGGAGTAGGGGTTGGAAGATGGTGAATATCCAAAAATATTAAAAAAGTCAATTAAAATAATCAATTTTCAAATCACTCCACAAATGTTGTTGTAAAAATAAAATGTGAAAATTAGGGGGTGCTCTCGGGTCAAGTTGGGTTGAGTGACTTCCATCAACCATCTATCTGAACTTAGACAAATTGAAAAAAAATCCATTTACATCCGTCCGCTTACTTAGTGGATGTAAATTGAGTTTGCCATGCAGATTAGAGAGTGGATGCATATCGATTTAGCAGTCTGAATTTTACTATTTTATATTTTAAAAAAAAGCATTTTAAAATAATTTTTTTACTATTTTAAATCTTATTTGAGTCTAAATTTTTTTATTTTTCATTTTTTATAATTCAAATAAAGATCAAATTTTTATATTTCATAAATAATTAATATTATTATTAAATAAAATATCATTTTTTAAATACAAATTAAAGAAATATAATATTATTTTTTAAAAATAATTGACAAATTAAATTGAATAGAGTGATCTCTCATTTATTATTTATCAAAACCGTTTACAAAACAGATAAATTAATCGGATTAGTCGATTTGACCACCGAAAATACAAATCCTAGTGAAAATACAATACAATAATGAAAAATGCTTGGGAGCACTAATTAGTGCTCCCACTAATTAGGTGGCAGTGAGTCCCGTCATTAATGATGTGATGTTTTGATTTTGAAGTTATATTTTTTTATTTTTTTTTACTTTTTTAATGCTCATTTATTATTTATCAAAACCGTTTACAAAACAGATAAATTAATCGGATTAGTCGATTTGACCACCCAGTGAAAATACAAATCCTAGTGAAAATACAATACAATAATAGATTGTTGATCTTACCACTTGTATCTAGCACTAAATTTCTTTCCTGTATCCTACACAGCAGTCACGTGCAGCAGACTGAGGTACGGGTGTCCACCTCTCTCTCTCTCTCTCTTCACTGCAACTCTGACTGCATTTCTGCAATCACCACGACCGTTCGAGATAGACAGACAACTAACACATCAACAGAGAAACAAAGAAAGAAAGAGAGAAAAATAGAGAAAATAGAGAGAGAGAGAGAGAGTCATTTATTAACAACCCCATAACCCAAAAATCAGAGACCTAACTCATTCCCCAAAATGTACCCAATGCTTTCGTACCAAAGCTTTCTTTTTTCTCTCACCCATCTCTATTATCACTACCCTCCTCTCTACTACTATCACATTCACACCTCTTTTTTTTTCTTCTTCTTCATCGTTGATCATCATTACTCACTTTTCATCCATCTGGGTCTACCTCATAATCAATTTTTTTCTACTCATCTATCATATATGTATATGTAATATATGTAATGTGTAAGGGATTTTGACAGAACTTTTGGGTCTGGACCCGTAATTATCTTTAACCACCAATGTCAGTTACCCACTTAATTATTTCCTCTGTCTTCTTCTCTCTCACAATCTTCCTTCCGTTTCCATTTCCACCCCCATTTCTCTCTCCTCTCTCTTCTGTCTCTCTCTACCTAATACTACTGCTGCTAGTCCATTATTGCTACTACTGATTCAATTAGTGCTACTTAATGGTGACTGTGAGACTGAGTAGTACTATTGATATATGTATGTATCTATTGGGTAGTTCAGTATATATGTAAATATGTTGTGTTAGTTGGTGAGTGAGTGAGTGAGTGAGTGAGTGATGGCTGGTTCTTCTTCTTCTTCTTCTTCGGTGGTGCCGTCGTTGCCGCCGCCGAGGCCCAAGTCGCCGCCGGAGTATCCGGATTTGTATGGGAAGCGTAGGGAGCTTGCTAAGGTTCAGATATTGGAGAGAGAGATTACTTTTCTTGAGGTTAACTTTTAATTCAAATTCATTTAGTAATTAATTTTTTTTTTATTTTTTTATTTGCCTGTTTTGTTGTTGAATTTATGTAAATATTGTTTTTACTCTTGATTGGGTTGGATGGTGAATTGGAAATACGAGAAATTTTACCCTGAAAAACTAAAAATAATTAAAAGAAGATGAAAATAATTGAATTAGTGAGAGAAAAAAAATTATGGTGGAAAGTGGAAACCCAATCAGAATTACTATTTGGTTGTTATATTAAAATGAAGAAATTGTTTTTGAATTAATGATATCAATTTGGGGTTCTTGCTTGATACAACAGTTTCAAAAACCTCATCGTCAATCCATCTACCTATTTTGTCCCTTTTGAACAGAATTACCACCATTAAGCCTAATTGGACTCACAAAAGATGATTTTAAGCTGTGTTTGGGTCTTGGATTTGTGGAAAGGAAAAGACCTGGAAAAGAGAAATGAAATAACAGCTAATTTCTTTACCTTTTTTTCCCTTTCTTTTTTCTTTTCTCAAGATCCAAACACAAATATGAAGGGAGTGGACATGTTAATTTAGCATACTTTGTGCAGAAGGGAAGATTTTGAATTCTTGCTACTCTGAGACCTAAAATGATTGATACAATGAGTCATTTTCCAATATTTTCCAGTGAATCTCAGACCCTTACTTACGCTGTTTTCGGATCATGGATTTGGGTAGAATTTGGAAAGGGAAACACAAATGGAGAAAAACATTTAACTTATTGCCTTACCTTTTTCTTTTTCTCTTTTTAATTCTCTATCCAAATCAATGATCCAAACACAACTCAGTGGACTCATGCTTGTGTGGTTGCAGACTTGACTACTGTCTTGATCATGAATCCCTCAACTTTCATTAGGATCTTGGAATTTCAAGGACAAGAGAAACAACAATTACCAGGAATTCATGATCTCATTCTTGTTTGGTTCATGGATTTAAATGAACCATACACTCTAATAAGCTGCCTTACTGGAGATCCTTATAGACTATAGAGAGGACCCTTTATTTGTTTGATTCATCAAATTAAATTTGTTATTGTTCATATTTTTAGAGAAATCTATTAAACTGCACTTCCACTCTGTCCAGTGCTAAATATTTCTTGTAACCAGACTGTCAGGTCGGCAGCACATCAACGTTAAGGATGAAATTTTGTTTTTGTTTTTATGTTCTATGGATGAACATGAAGAAATTACATAACATTCTTCCTTTTTCTTACATCAAGTATGAATGAATATTTGGAAAATCATCAATCAAATTGATCCCTAATGCTATATGACAGGTGATACACGCAAAAGGGTAGGTGATTGTAATTTTACTGTAGGTTGGGTTGTTATCATGTTTCCTACACCTGATGTGAAGAGAATACTTGTCGATTTCAATATTTGGTTCTCTAAAACTTCACTAATTATATAAACTTGTCTATAATTTTAAAGTGGTTGCTGAAAATTAGACGACATTCCTACAGCAATTTCATTCCAATGAAAACCAAGAAATTGAATTTTCCAAATGCTAGAGATTTACATACATGTTCCTTCATGTTTTAATAAATTGTTGCACCAATAACTGTCACTTGATGTTGCAAACTTTGCCTATCTTGTCTTCCTCTCCATATCTTTTTGTCCTTTGGGTTAATTTTTATTTCTTTATTTATTTTTTAATGGGAAAAATGTCATTGATAGTTTTATTGTAAGCAGGGGGAACTAAAGTTTGTTGGAAACCTTCAACCTGCTTCCCAGTGCTGTAAAGAGTACGTGATTGGTCTCGCAATTGTGTTGTATAGCATGCAGTTGATCTTTTTTTTCTTTTCCCCCCTTCTTTTTATGCTGGACAAATTCATCCCTGCAATTCAAATATCTTGATTTTTTTTTTTTTTTTGAAAAGGTTATATTTTATCTTAAGAATTATTGATGTTCTGTTACTAAACCTAAACTTGATTGGACTTCACAATTTGGTAGGGTTGCTGATTTCATGGTGGCAAATTCAGATCCTTTCATACCTACGTAAGGAAGTTGTCAACAACCCTTTTCTTGGAGTCTAGTATAATATTGTGATTTAATGTTTTTCTTTTTCTTGCAGAAGTCAAAAGACTCGTAGGTCTTGTCATTTCTGGAAGTGGCTATGGTATCTTCTTGTCCTTCGCTTATTTGTTTTGTATAGGTGGAGTTTTCATATTTTGCTACGAGCACTCGCTGTCGTGAATAAATTTACTGCAACACTATATGAATAGAGCAAGAAGCAAAAAAGTTACTCTTAATGTCAAAACAGAACTCATGGAGTAATGATGTCTTCTAGTGACAAACTTGATATGATTTGCAAAAAGATTTTGTTTTTCTTTCTTTCTTGTTCTTCTTCTTGTTGCAACAAAAAAGTGATTAAGTATTGCTATTAATACTTGTAAATAATGCAATATAGATGGTACTTGCTATTTATAGAAAATTTGTGGCTTGAACAAATCCTTGACCTATCAATTAGCTTCACAATGGTAACAAACAATTTATTTGCTTGGTAGAATTTCTCTATGGATCATGTGTAACCCTGTAACCGAAAAATTCACTTATATTCAATCTAAAATGTGGCCTACTTGGTGGTATTTCTATTATTCTGTTTCCTGCTCACCTAAAGAACTTAACAACCCAAGCAATTTTTTGGTTGAGGAAGCTCGACAGTTTGTAAGAAAATAAAATGTTAAAGAGGGTCATCAACTACCCAACTCGTAAGATGAGAAAACTCTTAGAGAGGTAAGCCAGACAAGCGGTACAGTCCTCAAAGAGCCTTAGTTCAGACATGGCGCACTTAACTCTTGTTTAATTGAAAGATTTGAAAATGGGAAATTTTTTACAAAATGTTAGAAGCACCTGGTGCAAGGGAAATTCACATTCTTTTTCAGTCTCTCTTGCATGAAGTGCTTGGTGGACTGTTAATTTCAAGTGCAACATCTAAAACATTGCATTTACAAGAGGAGTCCACATCTTTATTTGCCTTCATCTTGTACTATACCAATTTTATCCACTAGTGGATTAATTCAAATACTTTCCTATATGAAATTGAGTTCCCTTTTTGTGCAGCGGAGCACCATGTTTTAACTTCTCATGGATTTGCTGTTTTGGGTGCACTCCTCATCTTGAAATGCCGCACTGCTGCGATTGCAATTTATGCAACTGCTGTTCATGTGTTCATTGTTGTTCAATACCAAAATGCGCATGTTGTTCAATACCAAAATGCCGATGCCGATGCCGATGCCGATGTTCAATACCAAAATGCCGATGTTGTTCTTGGCCACGCTCCCAATGCTTTGACAAGATCTCGTGCAGCTTGTGCAACATCAAATGTTGCTTTCCACGACGATGCCCTTCCTGCCCAGATTGCTCTTGTCGATGGAGATGCTCTTGTCCCAAATGTCCAAAGGTAAACCTTTGTTGCTGTTGTACAAAAAACTGTTGCTACCCCTGCTTTTGTTTATGTTACTAGTATATTTTATGAAATAATCCAATGGAAGCTTTCTTTTTCACCGTGCCATTTTATTTTTATATTCGAGTATCTGTTTTGCTGATATGGAGCGGTTTTGACATCTTTGTGGTGGATATTATTTTTTCCAGCATTGTTGCCTCGATACAACCATGACATGACTTTTAAAATAATGGCTTGTCATTTCTAACTGCATTAATGTAGGACATGTGGTGAGTAGAGTTGTAAACGAGTTGAGTGGATTCACTTTGGACTCATATGAGTGGTTTGATCGACTGGTCCATTCTGAGGCTGAGAGGTGGGGGTGCCTTCATAAGTTGGATGGCCTAGCGTTGTTTATTTGTTGGTCCAAAGTTCTTAGAGGTTCTTCCATAGGTGATTTGCACTCTTTTCTTTGTAATGTTCGAGTAGGGTTGTGAACTGAACCAAGTTACTCGTGTTCCGCTTGTTAAAAGTTTGTTGATACGCTTGTTTTGACAAATTTTCAAACTTGTTAAGTTGTTAAGCCAAGCTTGAACATCCAGATACTTGGCTCAACTCGATTACATAAACTATAGAAATTTGAGTTACTCGAGCTGCTTAAACAGCACACTACTCAATTCAACTTGGCTTGTTTACATGTACAAGTCCCTTGAGCAAATTCTTATCTTCATTTTTTGGTTTAGTGGTCCCAAAAAACTCATTATTGATACAATTATTGAACTGAGTGGTCTTGTTTTGGATTAATTTAGTGGTTGCTGCAAAACTACAGCCACAAGATATGAGATGAGACATCGTTTCAATTTTGTTATTGATTTAACCTTTCTAGTAACATTTGTTAGAGATAAGATTCAAAATTAGTCTTACATTGGTAGATTAGGATAGAATTAGGAGATAAGAAATATCTAAACAGCCAATCTTTATCTCCACAGTTCTAAACCCTATAACTTATGTGACTCACCATGTAATAGTGGGTCCTATATGTATGTAGGATGTGAAATTTTAATTTTTTTTATTATTATTATTATTTGTTAAGTTATAGTGTTTTTATTAACCAAAAAAAAAAAAAGAAAAAGAAAAAGATATATAACAAAATTCAAGACACGAGTTCTGAAAAGTAGACACAAGGAGGCAGCTGAAAGGCCCACAACCTCACAAAGAGGCACCTCTGAAACCGGATCAAGCCTAAAGAGAAAAGCCACTCAAAAACTCAAGAGGCTAGGCCTGAAAGAGATGAAATATTCTCACACACAGAGTAACCACGAAAGGCAACAAAGCCGAAGACACCCCTGTTCTAGCAAGTTTGAGGTTGCAGAGATCTTTTCCTTTGGTCTCGTTTGTTTGGGAGATAGAGGTAGGGATAGAGGTAGGAAAGGGATTGAGATGGAGGTAGGACTTATTATATGTTGTGTTATTTTGGGAGATAAAGAAGGGATTCATTATCTCAAGAGATTAGGATGGACTTTGGTGTTGAGATTGAGATCGAGGAGGTGGAGGTGGTATATTAGGAAATTAGTTCTCCGGTTTAGGTTCTTTTTTTTTGTTTTTGTTTTACATGTTGGACATTTTTTTTAACATTAATGTTTAATATTTTTTATATTTTTTGTTAAGTAAAAATCATAATTTTGTTTGTTTTAATATTTTATATTTCTTTTATAAAGTAATAATTTAGTATTCTCCACACTAGCAACTATCATTAAAACAAACACAATTTTATTTTTGTTTGGGAATAGGCTACTTTAGTTGCTTTTTGGCTATAAAATATGAGGTAAATTTTTTTTTTTATATTTGAAATAATTTTTTAATTTTTTACAAAAAAACGTGCAAAAAGTAGAGAAGAAAATTTGACTTTTTTGTATAAGTTATAGATTTTTTGATTTTTTGATTTTTTTTAGTAACTTTTTTATTTTTAAGCTAAAACTCTTACTTCTCAAACGAGACCTAATTTTTTCACTATTAATTTTCTTATTATCAATCTATTTTATTCTATTTCAAAAAATAAACGGAATCTTAGATTTTTTTTGTTTTCACCCTGGGGAGACACACTATGCTCTTGAAATTCCAATGTCCTTGTTCTTATGTGGAAGGACATATAAAGAGGATGCGACCACTTGCTTGCCTCCTTTGGGAAAAACCCGACACGACCACATCTTTAGGGACACCGCCACCTTCCCACTCCGCAAAGATGGAGGCCACTTAAGACGGTTGCCTAATGCTCACAAAAAAAAAATTCAAAATTTTTTTATTGTCATTTTAACGAGTAATGTTAAAATTTTAAAAATTTTATTAAAATTTCTATCAAATGTCTCAAATAAATGTGAAATTCACAACATGTGAGTCTCATGTGGGTTCCACACTCATATGAGATATTTAATAAAAATTTTAATAGAGTTTTTAAGATCTGTACAATTTTTGTTTTAATATGGATTTTGTTAACAAATGTTCCATGAGCATTTGTTAAGAATGTATTAAATTATTTCAATCACCTCCACTATTATTGAAGATAAAAAAATCTATGAACATGTCTAGAGACTAAAGTATCATTTTATCCAATTCTCTCTATTTCATTATTATAAACTTTTCAAATAGAGTTTATTTATTTTTTAAAATATTTTTTTTATCATAAAAGTAAATGCATTTATTTTTAAATGAAAATTTGAACTTCTTTTTTAATTTTTAAATGCCCTTTATTTTTATAACAAATATAAAAAATTATATGCACTTCATTTTTTTAAGATTCATTTTCCTTTTCCTTTTTTTTTTAATTTTTAAATTCACTTTTCTTTATTTTTTATTTTTAGATTTATTTTCTTTACACCATATGATTTAATTATGATTGAAAATAGAGGACATTTAAAATTTAAAATTTAAAATAAAAACATGAAATTTCATTTAAAAATAAATGCATTTAGTTTTATGATAAAAAAAATATTTAAAAAATAAATAAACTACATTTGAAATGTATATATAATGTTGAAATAGAAAGAATTAGAGCAAATGATATTTTACTATCTAGAAAGACACATTTCCTATCTTCTATGATAGTAAAAGTAGTTAAAATAATTTAACAATAACTTTTAGTACATCTTTAACAAGTGCCTTTAGCCCTCATTTGGCATATGAGTTTTTTTTTTTTTAATTTTTTTATTAAAATAGTCAAAAAAATAAAATAAAATAGGTTAAAAAATTTATAAGATAAAATGTCACATTCAATTCATAATTATTTTATTTTTTTCTTTACAAAGTCAAAAAGATCAAAAATTTTATCATAAACGAGATTTTTTAACCTCAAATTAAAATAATTAAAATATAAAAAAATCAACTCACATCTTAAACAAAATCTTAAAAACTCCTTATAAAAAATAAAAAAATAAAAAAAAAACTTCTAAAAATTTTGAGCGGCCACTGCCACTCGGTTTGCTTGGGAAGCCAACTTTGTTGCGTGGAAACATTTTATTCTCTTCCCAAATCGTTGTCCTTGTGTTCTACTCTATTCTCTTTGACCCTCCAATCTTGTCTTTAATTTGGAAACATTTTTGACTTTACATTTGAGACCATAGGCTTCGGTTACCAAGGACATGAATTTGTGGTATGATCAGAAGCCTTGCTACCATTACATTTTTTCTGTTTCCACCTTAATCCCATAAGTTTCACCATAAAACATGAAATAGAAAATATGACAAATATCATTTTCCTATTATATATATATGTATATGTTTTTGGGAAAATATGTAAAGAGTATTGAGTGTTATTGTGATATATTGGGTAATGTATGGTATTATAAGCAAAGTTATATCATTTGTGAGTTTGATTATTAACATATTATAGACTCATAATTAAAAAAAAAAAAAAATAGAACAAAAGTTATAATCAAACATCGTGTTGGAAAAATAGTACGAAACTATCTGGAAAATATAATTTAAAAATATGTAAACGATTTTTAGGCAAAACCAAAATTGAAATAAATTGACATAAAACGTAACAAAACTTACAGTACATAAAAAGATAAAACCTGATCGAGTCGAGTGTGTGATACTCTTTCCTTAAGACAGATTTGTCCTCCCACTAGTACTTAGGATTCAATAGAACTTACAGTACATAAAAAGATAAAACCTGATCGAGTCGAGTGTGTGACACTCTTTCCTTAAGACAGATTTGTCCTCCCACTAGTACTTAGGATTCAATAGACGTCTATCTCCCAATATACAACGATCAATGCCTTGCACTAGCAGCACTACTATTGCAAGTCTAGCGAACTTTGCTATGCATGTACTCTCTTTATAAGAAAATTAGACTTAGAAAATATGAAGAATAGATGCAAAATGAAAAGAAAAATAGCATTCTATATTCCAAAATGAAGTGAGGGGAATGAAATTTATAAATTCCTCCATGACTCTTTAGAAAGGTTGTGACCCTTCAAAAGGACACACCCTTCCATCTCAAGAGACACAACCATTGGAGTAAATTTAAATTCAAAATTTTCAACAATCCCTCACATGAATGAAATTTACGAAAAGGACATGCAACAACATGCAGACAAAGAGAGAGTACATTAAGGAAATACATTGCATCGGGAGACTTACTAGCTAGTCAGTGGACATGATGCCTTGAACTGTTCAGCCGTTTGTGTAAGCCAAGACAATATAATTCACACAGAATATCTCCAATCACGGCTTAGTTCTCACGGTTGTGCCCATTTTGGCCTTGGGCATCTCCTGGTGTTTCATGAGTGTTTTAGAAAATTTAGCCTTATCAATTTTCATAGAAGCGGCCCCTTCACACTCATATAGATGATCCTTATTTCGAGTCTCTTTAGTACTTCTCTTGAAAGATACCCCTCTAGGGTTTTCAAGATATAAGTGATCATTAAAAGCATAGCTTACCCTAAGTTCCCTGCATACAACGCATGTTGCAGATATCACTCTCATCATAGAAATGGATAGGAGTTAGACTCCTTTAGTGGTTTCTGACAAGCCACATATAACTTAGTTGTCCCTTTGAACTTAGTTCTTGGGATCTCCAATCATCTAAGTAGGGTTACCATTATGATGACTTTGATGTAATAGGCTTTAATCACATTCCCTTCGATGAACTTTCCCTCATTTGCTTTCTAGTTAAACTTTTTGTTTAGCGGCCACTATTTTTCGGTTTGACCTTCTCAGTTATATATCATTGAGTAGTTCGTGGATCCACTATATTATCCTTAGACAATATGCACAACTGAAAGCAAATGTCTTACCGCATTAAGTCTTTGATTACTTCGAGACTTACTCCATGTCACTCCTATTTTCAAATTTAAATAATAAACATAAAGTTGTTCCTTAGGAGTTAATGAAACCATTTTTGCTTCTACTTCAATTTTGTCCTGTAGAAAAAACTGAGATTCTTTGTAGACCTATTATTGGAACCGTTACTTTGGTACAATCAAGCATCCCCCACATTTTAAGCATTCCAAGGAAACTAAATTTCTTTTGCTGATGTATAATTACACAAAAATATTAATGCACCCCCACAATTCTGAGATAAATCAAAATATATAATTAATTGGCGTGCTTGAACAAGATGTAAAATTGCTTTGTGAATATAATCACAATACTAATTTGTCTAAAATACAATTAGACTTCATAACCTTCTTTTGCAGTACAAAGGAAAAATGGCTAATACCGGTTGTGGCCACAACACTTTGTCAAATAACATTTATTTAGCCATGCATTATTTCTTTTTGATTACTGCAACTTTTAATTCCAATCTTAACATGGAATATAAATATTACATTTACATCTGATTTGTCTTATCCGGTATTGGTAACTACTTTGACAATTGCCAAAGCGTCATCCACTTATGAAATATTTTAATTTATATAATATTTCATTACGAAATTATCGGTTACCACACCAATTTCACAATCATTAATCCAAAGAATGTTAGAATTCCTCTTATGTCAAAATACATAAGTTTACATTTTTATCAACACTTTGATAAATGGGATTTTTATTGATAAGTCCAATTTAGAAGTGTTTTAACCCAAGAAGTCCATGAAGGAATTTTTTAACCTATTTAGTCCAATATATGTATAGTTTTATTCCATAAAGTCCATTTTCTTGATTTACACTATTTTCTTGGACACTTATGCCCTTATATTTAATTTTGATACCCTTATATAGGAATGGCAACGGGGCGGGGCAGGGGCGGGGACCACCTTCCCCGTCCCCAATCCCCGATGGCCAAAACTTTCCCGTCCCCGGCCCCGATCCCCGACGAGGAACCTGTCACAGTCCCTATCCCCGTCCCCAACGGGGATCGGGTTTCCCCGACCCCGAAAAGTCCCCGATCCAACTCTGTTTCAACATTCAACACCATAAAAAAAAAAAAGAATACCAGATCATAAAAAAAAACAGATCTGTTTCAACATTCAACACCATCAACTCTGTTTCAACACTCAACATCCAACATAGATCAACAAAAAAAATAACAGATCAAAAAAAAAAAATTACAGATCAACAGATCAAAAAAAAATTACAGATTATCAGATCAAAAAATCAATAACAAATAAAAAAAAGAATAATAGATCTTACAGATCTGAGCTGATGAGGACGGCGGAGGAGGATATCGACGGAGGAGGGCGGCGGTGGAGATCGGCGAAGGAGATCGGTGGTGGAGATCGACGATGTGCTACACTCCATCAGATCTGCCGTGGCGACGGAGGAGGAGGCTGCAGTGGCCTGGAGGAGAAGGAGGTGGTGGTGGCTTGGAGGAGGCTCCTGCGTCTGTGTCTGTATGAAAAGAAGAGAAGAGAGAGAGTGAGAGAAGAGAATAGAGTGTGAGTGAGATAGAGCTACTGCTGAGTTAATCAACAGAGGTTGAAATATATATAATATAATATATAAATATAATAGAGAGTGTGAGATAGAGCGTGTAACATATATATAATATATATATATAAATCGGGGGGCTGACCGGGCCGGGGGCGGGGCCGGGGATGAAATATATATCACCGTTCCCGGCCCGAATGTCACCGGGAATTTATTTTTTAATACCATCCCCGGCCCGTCGGGGGTATTTTTCGGGAAAAAACCATTCTTATCGGGACGGGGGGCGGGTCCCCGTCGGGCCGGGTTCAAATTGCCATCCCTAAACGAAGGTACACTCAGTACCAAAAGGACCTGAAAGAAAGTGGAGAAAGCTCTTCATTGGTCCAGTCAAAGGGCTAGATAGAGGGAAAAAAAAGTCCAACGTTAGATCATAGTCCAAAATCGACTCCTCAAGACAAAATGAATTGCAGTAGAGAGTAGTTGGCCAAAGTTCACTCCGAACTAAAAGCCAAAGAAGATCTAGTTTAGTAGGATTAGAAAGGGCTTTGATGGAAAGCGATAGCGAGACTGAAAGAGAAATTGGCCTAGGCCAAAAGAAGGAGATGGTTGAGGAGGAAATGTTAGAAGCCTTCATGGTTGAACATACATTTTTGGTCGAAAAACTAGCAGAAACAAACCATTCAAAGAAAGTTACTAGTACTGAAGTGCCAGAATGCAGCATGGAAGATGCTTCTGAAGTAATTGAACAAGTTGGCCAGGAAAAAAAGCAGGTATAACCAGTCGTCCAATTTGGCTCGTTTTCTCTAGTATCAGTGAATATGGTGTATCTACTACCACAGGAATTCCAAGCTGAAGATGAAAACCAAGAAGGTCAGGAGATTGACCTAATTCTAGTTTCTAGTGAAGACTCACAAGTGAGTATGGTACAAGACGAATCCGAAGTGGCCACACCAATGGAAACTGGAGACGAAAGTGAGGAAGAGGTGAGTATTAACCTCTCATACTCTTTTGAGTATCCCACGACATCCATGACACAGCATGTCAAACCCTTGTATATCAAGGCCTTCTTCGAT